ACGAATGCTCCACCATATGTTGAATGATTAATTTAGAGTACAGTAAAAAAGATGGTATAATAATTTTTTATAATGATTATTAATTATGATAATAAATAGTAATTAGTATTTATTAAATTTAATAATTTCTATTTTATTTTTTCTATTGATTTTACATATTTACTTTCCCTAATGTTGATATGGACATACCACTGCAAATTTAATTTGAAATGGCTACACCACAATTTACATCTTACTATGTGAATGGGTATTGACGGAGACATGAAGTTGTTATTTGGGATAAGGCTGCAAATTAAGGCTGCAACTTGGGCCGGGTTAGCCCGAACCCAACCCGAAAAAGTTGGGTTGGGTTGGATCGGGTTGATGTTCGGGTTAGGGTTAGGGTTGAAATTCATAAACCCGACTTTACTTTGGGTTGGGTTAGAGTTTTCCCCTTGGCCAACCCGAACCCGACTCTATAGTACATGTCATATATAAATATATGTTATATGTAATATATCATACATTGATTTGTTTAGATTCATGATATTTGTATAGCCCCCACCACATAATATCATGTATTTCTTTTAAGATAATCACTTTAGTTAATCCTAATCAGAAAGACTAAAACCTTAATAACATTATTTTATGTTTTATCATAAGTCAAAATTCATAATAAACTATAGTTATCTCTAACATTTGTTTTTTTGAATTTTGTACCAAAAGAACAGAAAAAAGAAGGTCAATAAATAAATACTTATAAAACTAGGATTAATATATGTAGTGAAAATTGAGTTAATATCTAAAATTGAGAAATACTATGAGGTTTTAAGGGATGGAAAAAAGGTTGGATTGAGCCCAACCCAACCCGAATTTGACTTTGGGATGGATTGGGTTGGGTTAGGGTTGAAAGAATTTAGTTAGGATTAGGGTTAGGATTGGGTTGATCGGGTTGGGCTAGGGTTAGGATTAAGATTGGGTTGATTTAAGGTTAGGGTTGGGGTTTAGAACTTAGGTTTGGGCTAGGGTTGGCCTCAACCCGACCAAACCTGGCCTGACTTACAGCCCTACTGCAAACTAATGATAGGTAGAGCTAAATTTGATTTGTTGATATTGGAAATTGAATATGTTATCTATCGGATATCTAACATGAAGCAATGATATGGTGTTGCACATGTGCACCATGATGCCAATTCACCCAACAATCGAACGAAAAATCCTTGGAGAGTTAGCTGATGTTTTAACTTTTAAGTTGCCTCTCTCTCTCTCACATTGGGTTTGCTCTGTCATTGTACGAGTGACACGTGTAGGAGAGAGAGAGGGAAAGAAATGTGACAATTTTTCGAATGTTGATCTGGACGTGTAGCCAAAGAATGACCGTTTGTTATGTGAAGGTTGGGAAAGTATCAGGGTTACAGTCAAAACATACGCTAAGAACACCCTATTGCATTTTTCTGTTTTCTTTTTTTTTTTTTGAAATTTAGAAAACCATATTAAAATGGGAGACCCCTTCGGCACTCTAGTCTTGTACTCTTGTTAAAAGAAAAAGGAAAATAAAAAGTCGATATTCACCTTGGACCTAAATTTTGGTCCAGGTCCAGAGCTGGTCTCTGATGGGCCAGGCTGATACTCCTAGAACTTGGGTTTGGACTTTGGTGAGTCAGGAGGTCTAGTCCAACTCGAACCAACACCCCTTCTCTGCCTGTTCTCGCAATGCTAAGGGAAGAGCAAAATAAAGTGGTTATGGCCTTTGCCGTTATCCAGTCCACATTGCATCCAAGTATTTTCTGAAAGCAGATTCTACGATTCTTAATCAAGTCCTGTAATTTCCCCAAAGCAGTGATCAAACTATTATCTAGAGTAGCCCTTCCATCGTAGAAATCAAACCTACGATCCCTTAGAACTGAATATAGCACTTAGCACAGAGATGATACTGAGAAATTTCTTTCCTGTTAAACAAGGCAAGCCCCCTCAACCTAATTGGAGTAATCCATGAAGCTCTGTAAACAAAACAGAGGCCCAATGAAAGGCCAATCATCAGAAAGACATGTTATCAACTGAATCCTAAGAGTTCTCCTTTTCCATCCCAATTCAAGCAACGTCCTGTTTCTATCATATACACTTCCCCTACACAGTTTTGTGATTGAGGCCCTAGTATAGCTCGTCCTGCTCCAATGTTTAAATTTGGATAAACATTATGAGCACTCGTGAGTACAGAGGCATGATAGAACTCATGCTCTTTGTTTTTTTATTCAAATCATCAACATGATCTGTTTTTTGTTCGAATGTCATATCCCTTGGTATTAGGGGCCATCTTTCCTTTGCCTGGCTCCTACTTCGGAAGTCAGATTCAGATGTCCCCTTTCAAGATTTTCTTTCTTGATCACTTTTTCATTTCAATTTTGATCCACCTTCCTAATATTTATGCTCACCTCTGAAAATACTGTACTATGAATTCCTGATCCAACCCTAGCAAATTATAAAGATATCTCTTGCAGTTTTTTTCAATTTGATGTTGATATAGCCATTGAAGTCGAAAGGCAACTTGGCAAGGCAACATACTAAAATCTCGATAGATGTTCCAAAGACCAAAGTTTTACTTCCTTTAGTTTCCAAAGGGTCTTCATTTTCTACAATGCTTATCTGGTTCACATTTCACCACTATTGGTATATGGCTAAAAGCACAAATGACCACCTAAACAATAAAGATGAGAGAGAGAGAGAGAGAGAGTCTGACATCTCGTTAGGGTGCTGGCACCGTTCGCACAACTCTTAGCCCATCCCCCATACCCATAACCCCCAACCCTGGTGACAGATGGCTACAACCAACCAGATTACTTACAAGTTACAACTGAGCCACCATCAGGTGTAGCACCAAATCTACTCATGAAATGACTTATACAAGAAAATCCTATATCTAGACGACTAGACAGAGCAGCTCCCATTACTGATCAATGTGAGATTCAAGGACTCCTGAAGGCCTGAACATTGATTGAGTGGATTTGAGGGCAAAACTGTAAGTCGAACCGACAGACACTGTAAGACTTAAATGATCAGTCAAAGAAACTGACATTAAGAACGTGAAAAGCCCATAATTTGATGTTTCATGATAAAAAGAAGGATAATTATGTGGAGATAACTTTATACCAAGTTTTCATTCTTGAAGCTAAAATGCAATCATCACCTACGCCGCGTATGAGCTTTTGGTACAGATACAACTTTGTATACGAAAACATACTCTGACTGAGCAGGGAGCAGGCACGTAATTGGCATTCATAAAAGAGACTCAGGCATAAGAACTTGACAACTAGTGAGTCATCTAAGCCCAATCTGGTTTCTTATTTCAGGAAATTGAAGTATATCTGCTAGTCCTAGATCTTATGACAAGGATGTTTGCCAAACTGTAAAGATTTTCTTTAGGAGGGGGGAGGGGGTTGGGATCCAAATCCAGTTCATCTCAATCCCTACATGCTTCCTCTGCTCCAGATACAGAATAGGATGGAGAAAGTAGGACCTCAGAAGACCTGCTTATTTGAAAGGCTACAACTTTACCTGTCTGACAAATAAAATCCAAATCTTTTATAACCAAGAAAAATACAACCTTCCTTAGGACAATAGAACTTCATACACAATGAGTGGTAACAAAGAAAAACGGTGAATAAATATCATCAACTTTTAATAACATTAATTTAGTTAGAAGAGACAAACATAGAAATACACTTATCAATTGACCAGGGCATTTTGGATAGAAAGACATCTGCATTTGGACCCCAGAAAATGTAAAAAAAAAGGACAGGCAAATATTTGTACGGGAAAATAGTTACTTACAAAAATATTATCTTATTAAATTTTATAATGTTTGATTGCAATTTGGAAACAAACTTGGAAAATGGGTCACGGGCAAAGTTACTGACAAGAGGGAAATTAATAGATTTATCAGATGAGAATTATTTAAGGAGACAGTTATGCAGTAGAACTTTAAAAGTAAATCCCATAATATCATTCTTATCCAAGACTCTAGGAAAAGTGACTAATGCTTTCAAAGAGGGTAATTCATTTTACCCCATTCTCACTCTTGTTTGTATAACACTTTGCTTCCTTTGGCATTTTACTTGCAATAAAACAATAGAAAATTAGTAATTTTCTGAAACAACTGTTTTATGACATATTTTACATCCAACCAAACACAAATGAAAACAATAAAAGAATGAATTGTCACCTAAGCACATATCACTGAATTAGACAATATTTTGCAAAACAAGAAAATTTGTAATTCAGCACCAACAAATATAATCCTTAAAGTTGCTTGTATTGAACCACCTACATAGCTAGATGGAACAAGTAACTGATCAATAATTTTGCTTCAACGTTAACATGTACTATCAATATACAAGTATATGTATCAGGCTAATAATTTGGTTAGCCCCTTGTGCACAACCTTACGAGTAATGACTATAGGCAAACACTGGCTTGAGACTCTGATGTCATAGAAAAGTCTAATGATAACCGGGTTTCCCAAGCCATCAAGATTTGATTTCTCTTGCAACTTACCTTCTAAGAATATGATACTTATCACTTAACAATATAAATAATTCCAAATATATTATTCTTCTGTGAAATAACTGAATTCACCTGCTTTGATGCCTGTGTCTGTGTGCTAGGATGCACTAGACATGCCATAAGAGTTTCAAAATCCAATATGGGGGGGTGTTCAGTAGAAAACCCTAATATCTTATCACTGCATTTCAAATAGAAATCAAGTATCCTGATTGGTGATTTCTGAAGCTCAACATGCCCATGATGATTGCATCCAAAACCATACATCAAACCTGAAGAAAAAAACCTCTAGGTACTTGTATGAATGGTATCAGCTCATCATTCAGATAATATAAGTTCTTTGAATTCTTCAATCCAACATTGAACCGTCAAAGGGACATAGTAAAATCTTCTCATTTATGAGTTGGGCAAGTGTCTGCTAGTCATACCAGGACCAGCAATTCATACTAGAAGAGAGAATAGCATAAGAAAATACCTCAGCGTTCTTAAATCCAACATTGAACTATCAAGTAGATATATACTTCAGAGACACATAGTAAAATCTAGAAGAGAGACACATAGTAAAATCTTCTCAATAATGATTTGGGCAAGTGCCTGTTAGTCATACCAGGAAGTCATGCTACAAGAGAGAACAGCATAAGAAAATACTTCCATGATACTGCCATATTGGCAACTTTTAATATGTCTGAGGAATATTCATCTGGAAAGAGAAAATAACTAGTAAATTCAAAAGCATATATAAATTTCACCTTTTCGGTGATTGTTGGAGTTCTGCTTGCATAAATAAGATACCAGCAATAAAACAATTGAGCACAATGTAACTGACTACCGACCCTATATAGTTGGGACAAGGATTAGATGATGATGAAATACATGTTGTTGTACTCACTTGCACCAAGGCTGACTACTACATAAGGATGCTTCCATGTTTGATCTGGTATTGGCACCTGGAAAATAACTGGTATTACTTTCACTAGAAGCCCACTTCATAATGCCAGCATAGACAGGTGCAAGAAATCTCCATCTCAACAAAACTTTTTTCATGACAGAAAGTTGTTTAGATGGCTATACTAAATCCTTAGTTTATTTTTACTTGAATTGTATTCTTCTGGACCCTGCTTCCCATTAATAACATTTGTCTTCCAGTTGTAAAGTTATGATTAGCTTAATTAACCATTTTGCAAGCACAGTTCAAGATGCCACAAGTAACTACATAGACCTGACCTTCCTATTCACCAAATTTATGGCAGATGAATTTGTAGATGTAATTCAATTTCTTGCACAAGATATGCATCCATATCCATACTGTTCACAAAATATTTAGCTTTTTAGATTGTTGGAAATTGGTGGTTCATCAGTTTTCAAGTCTGAAAACATCCAACAAATTGCAAGCTGAAAAATAGAAAAGCCAAATCTAGGTTGAAGTAAAAATTATCCATTCTTGACTGAAACAAATTCCACAACCTAAACATATCTAGAAGTTATGATCTCCCCCCCCCCCACCACCACCACCAAATTATCATTTTAATTTGTTTCGAAACTTGAAGTTCTGGATGGTAATTGCAGACAACTTAGCAACCTTAATCTTCATACATGCACCAGAAACTGTATAGAAATACTCATGCCATATCTTGCTTTCAAGGGCTTTATTTATTTCACGCACAGGGTTTTCTCAGAAATGACTCATAAACATGGTGAAACAACATGATTTTACCCCTATTCTTCATAAAACCAACTCCTGTTGTCAATTACAATAGAATTATTTGAAAATTCATGTTTTCAGTTTCAATTTACTATATGTGCAGTGCATATACTATAATATCCTTTTGATTTTCAACCACAAAATACAGTGAATGAGATAATAGCTTCCTTACTTGGGTGAGCTGACTAAGCAGAATGAACTTAATTTTAATATTTAGGAATAGCTTTCTCAAGGACTACAATCGCACAAGTTAAGACATGCAAATGCTTGTCAACCAGAGGTCCAGGGAAAATATATCTCTCAAGTTCAAAATGGGCTTGGCTACATAAGTCGGCATATGTCAACACACAAGAATTGATGTTTGACAGAATCTGGTAACAAGATCAAATTACCTAATACCAAGTTCATAGAATTTCTCCTGTAATGGATCTACAAAGATACAATTCATTCTTTTTATTTCTTTGTATTTAAATCAAAACTTGCCTGATAAGAAAGACTTTCAGACGTAGATCTTGTAAACAATGAAGAGTTGCCAAAAAAAAAAGCAATGTTGGATGAACCACTTGCAATAAAATACATACAGAAAGATTAATGGTACGAGTAATTGACGTGAGGAAACTTAATTACCTAATGGATTTTCTTGCTTTCATGTAAATTCTACAGATACAGCTGCTGATCGATCCCTATCCAGTATTTTCTTCTGGGAACCTTTCTCCACACTTACAACCCATCTCGACATGTTCAACCCTCTAAATTGAGGATTTTTCACCAGCTGAAACACGAATCCTCTTTCACTACCCTGCACCGACCGTGTGGTTTGCAACACACCCACAAACCTGGATTTGTTCAACAATCTAACAGCAGGCATTCTCACAGCTAAACTTGATTTCCTCTGAATTAGCGCAAGCTGGTTTCTCGCAGAGCCATTTTTCGTTGCAGTAACCGGACCAGTTGATTTAGATCGAATGTAACGATTACCAACGGAACTATCTGAACTATTTGCTTCTAGGCGTAGCCCAAAATCCTCACCTACAGCACTGCTTGAAGTACACTCTTCTTGTCTACAATCCTCAATAACAGCACTACTTGTACTTGAAGTGCTTGGCTCTAGCCCGAAATCGTCGCCAACAGCAGTGACTGAGCCAATTGCTTCCCGCTCGAAATCCTGAGCAGCAGCACTGGTTGAACTAATTGCTTCTCTCCCAGAACAAACACCAACCTGAACACTGGATACCTTTCTATTCCTCAATGACGAAGTTCTACTTCCGGGTTTGGAGGTCTTGACAGTAATCTCTTCTTCGCGGCCAATCACCGGAGATGGCTTCCTCACCCGCCTCCTAAGGTGGTTCCAAACTGCAGAGGGAACTTTCTTGCTAATAGTTCGAAGAGAGTCAACCACCTCTACCATCGACGGCCTCTTCTCGGCAGTCTTCCCGACACACCGAGCCGCCAACACGGCCAACTGGCGCATTACCGACGGGTCCCCAGGCGGCCCGATCCGGGGATCGAACAGAGGAGTGAACTCAAACTGCTTGATAAGTGGCAGGGCCCAATCAACGACGGAAGGCGGACTGTAGTTCACGTCAATGGCGTTCCGGCCACTGATAATTTCCAACAGTAGGATCCCAAAACTGAAGACGTCGCTCTTGGTACTGAGATTCTCCGGCGCAACGTAGCCGGGGTCGAGGTACCCTAAAGTGCCGGCCGGAGGCGTACATCTTATCCTTACATCCTCAACATGTCCCCTCAGGGCCAACCCGTAATCACCTAGCCTGGCATTCCAATGTCCGTCAACGAGCACGTTTGACGACTTGATGTCTCTGTGAATAACCGGCGGGTTCGACGAATGCAGAGTATCGACCGCTTTTGCGGTCTGCAATGCGAACCGGATTCGCTTCGCCCAACCGGGCGGTCGAGGGCTGGAATGCAAGAGATCATAAAGAGATCCGTTCTCCATGAACTCAACAACGATTAGCTTCTTCTCTTCTGCACCTACACTAAAACCAATAAGATTGACGAGACGAGGGCTTCGAATTCTCGAAAGGACTTCGATCTCGTTGTCCGCAGGGTTGTTGTTAATGTTGTTGACGTTGTCGTCATGGAGCGTGGCCCCGGCCAACGTCGTAGTCTTCTTAACAGCAACAACGAGCTTTCCGTCGTCAAGAACAGCCTTGTAGACGCTTCCATGGCTACCTTTACCGAGAAAGTAAGCCGGAGAGAAGCCCCCTGTAGCGGACTCGAGCTCGGCATAAGAGAAGCGCCGGATTTTAATGGGTTTATTATAACGCTTTTTTGATCTCTTCTTTCTATCCCAGTTATAGGGATCGCAAGTGATGATAGAAGACTCAGCTTTGCAAGAGAGGTAACCCATTCCCATTTATTATTGTTTGAGATATATGATATCACGTCTCAAAGAGAGAGACAGAAGAGTGAAAGCCTGAACGACGATAATGCTGCAGGCTGCCTGGATGCCGCTTTGGAAACACAGAACTGGGAGGCAGATAAAAGGGAAAGAGAAGAGGAGTTGTAGTAAGAAGAGAAGGAGCGAGAGATTCAAAGAGAGGTGGCGTGGTGGGGAACGACAGTGGCAAAGATCATTACTGCTGTCATCGATCAAAGAAAAAAAGAAGAATTTGTCAAGTCTCCAACAGTAAAAGTACTCTGGGGTGGGATGGGGTCTTTACAGCCTTTAGACTCGGAGAGATAAAAGTAATGAAGTAAGTAAGCAACTAAGCACATCCATACATTTTCCCACGCAGACGTAGCACAGCAAGGAATTCAACTTTTGATGAATATTCAATTGCTTTTCCTTAAGAATTTAAAATTTGTCCACACATCTCTCCATATAAAAACGTGAAACCGTAAAGATGATAAGTGAGAGAATTTCTCGGATTTCGTCTCACCGGTCACCAGGTGGGACCCTATCTGACTTTTGTTCTTCTTAATTCTTATCAGATTGCTAAGAAAGAGGCACCCGGAAGGACTAGAGTATTGCAGTGGATGCATGGCAATGGGAAAGATGAAGAAAGGAAGGATGATCTCCATCTGTTAGGTGGTATGTTGACATGTTGTGTTGTGTTGGGTGGGCCCCTGACCCTGAGGCCAGACTCTGTGAAGGATCATAATATCATATACACACTACTAATACTATAGAGTAAAGGGTTTTAGGTGCAGATAAAGAAATCTTATTTTAGAATAGTGAAGTGAATAGGGTTGGAATAATGTGTGATCAACCAAGATGGCGAGTGATATTGGATTCCTTTGGCTTTTATGGGGTTGAAACTAGAAATCTGGGTTTATGGGTATGTGAGGATTTGGTGAGACAATGACCTTAGAATTGATGATAGGCATCAACTTGTGGTGGTAAGACCATTTCTGATTTTGGTCGGTTATAGAGTATTAACTAACGCGTCGTTGTCTTGTCCTCCACAGTCCACATTCACTCTACCTTTTCTTCTACAGTTCTACTTTGTGTTTTATTTACATTTCTACTTCTTGTGTTATTTTTTATTTTTTTTAAGACAAAAATCATATTTAATTTCAACACAGAGAGGTAATTAAAATACCAAGCAAAAAAGTATACGTAAAGTACAAATACACAATAGGGATTCGCACCAAGAAACTAGAACTATCTGGAACTGTAACCATCAGAACTCCCCAACGGGTGGGTATGGGCAGAGCCCTATAGTCAAAGCCTCTTATCCCACCACCTTTCCATACACCACTGAACCATCTTAAAATACTTAGGGTCCTTTTAGTTTGTAGTCAGAATTAGAATAGGAATGGTCTATTTTTATAGTCTGTTTGGTTCAAATAGGAATGAGAATGAAAATTAAAATCATCAAGAATGTGATTTCATTTTTAATGGAGGGGTAGAGAATGGTCATTATCTCAAATGTAGAAATACCATTTCAAAAGAAATGGGAATATAGTTCCGATTTCATCTAACCAAACAGTTAGAATCAGAATAGACCATTCCAATTCTAGACCCCTATTTCTACAAACCAAATGGGGCCTTATAATTTAACTATTTTTAAAAATGAGATTATAAGAATTTGGGGTATTTTACAAATAAAATTCTATGATCATTAGGAATATTTTAGTAAGTGCTTAGTATCGTGGCCTAAGGTGTTTTTCTGAGGAAATGACAGCTTTAACACCTCACTAGAAACAGCTATAAAACATCTTCTTTGTTGTTTGGCACTGTTGCTACAATGTGGAAAAACATGCAACGTTTTCGCCTATATTTTATTTCGTTCAAAGTGTTTTCTTGAAGTTTTTTTTTTTGATATAGTGTTTGAGCAGAGGTCGATGATTGTTCAATAAACAACACTCGCCTAACTTCATATCCAATGAACATTATTTAATTATTTTGAGATCTAACGGCTAACATGTGTCAAGACATATATCCCAATGGTTTGGATTGTTTAATTATTATAATAAAGGGTCATCTATACCTTATGATGAAACTTAATTATTATAATAATTAAATTAAAGGGCAACAAAATACTCTCATAAAAAAGAACCGTCAACTCTAAAATCTTAAGTTGTTAAATGAGGTGTTTAACAAGTTTTATCCTTTCACATTTGATTTAAAAATGTCAAAAAACAATAGCCTTTCATTCCATGGAATTAACCGTGAATACACATTATGAAAAAGAAAATCTTTCTTCACATCCGATTCTACCCAAACGTTCTAGTGCATCGTAATGCATTAGATAATAACTTGCACCTGCCAGGTCAGTATACACATAGGAGCCATATCACCTGGTAATCACAAGAAACACTAGCATCTTGACCGGATGTGAGTTGTGTTTTCATTTCCACCTGTTCCTCCCTTAAAACGGTTTAGCCAATTTTTTTTTTTTTTTTTGACCGTTGAAGTAAAATCTCATATATAGCATCTAGGTGGACTCAAAATGGACATACGGTATCAAACAACTCCATTCCCATAATATAAACCCATACCATTCGGGGTGGAGCAGATTAGGGCCCTGATTTTCCCATCCGTACAATTGAAAGTTGAAAATGAAACCTGAATATTATTGACCATAGCCCGCTGCCCGTGCGGTGCGGAATGGGGAAGGGTCATTGCCTCATTGGTTGGTCCTATCATTGTTGAAGCGGATTTTGGATCAACCCGATCATCGGACTGATCCGGGAGGTGAAAGGTTATGTGCAACGCTCGAAGAAATTAATTTTAATTGCATGGTTGGCGTCTACGGCACTCCAAAAGGAGAAGGGGGCCTTTGCTTTTGACTTGTGTTGAGATTCATTCGTCAACTGGGCATGGGCAAACAGTTATTCGGACTTTCTTTTTTTTTTTTTAAAGTCCGTCCAGAAGAATCTGATCACCATGGTTCGGCTATTCTGACTACTTTGAGTTGTTCAACTATTACTACATATAAAACAAATTATACTTGTATTTTATAATATTATTTTCTGAATCGACTGGTGGCGGGTTTGTCTCTTCCTCTTGCATGTGGCCGTACATGTTGAACCTGGTCGAGGCCCGTGGACATGGATCAACAATCCGATCCATATCTCAATTATCTCATTCAACAACCCTTAATTAGCTATTCTATTAATGTGTCTCTACAACTGCAAATGAGACCCAGTTCGGATAGGGCTGATTCCAAATGTGAAATTGGATATATTGAAATTCTTATAACTCAAAATTGAATCTTTTAGAGGACTCCTTCACAGGTATGGAGATGGGAGACCGGAGATGCATCTCTGGCTGTGGCTGAATTCTCAGGAAAGCAAAAAGCCATAAGCAACTAAAAGGATTGGTCGGACTCGGACCAACTGATGTCATCATTTTCACTCATTAGCGATAAAGACGAACAAGCATATTGGGCCAAAGCTCTGGACCAGGACCATGTTGGTGGATCTGGATAAACTCACCTGCCGCCTTGTCCTAGTAAAGAGGGGCTTTGGGCATAAATGGTGCACAACCATGGATCTTTTTAGCCCATGGTCCAAAGGGGGAAGAAGTACTTGGCAGATCCAATGTGCCTTGTTGTAGGATGCATGCTTGCAGCACATGGTAGAAAATAATAGGTGTTGCGACTAAGAAAAACCGAATCAATGAAAATCAAACCGAAAATTTAGTTAACCGAATCAATTGGTTCAGTTTCAATTCCATATTAAAAGAAAAAACGAAGGTATCGGTTTAGTTTCAGTTAACCAAAATAGAAAACTAGTGGTTAACCTAACGGATTGGTATACATGTATTTGTATATATTTTATATTTTTTGTACAATATAAATTAATAAATATATATTATATAAATACATATATATTTATAATATATAATATATAATATATTATTTATTATTTAAAATATAATATTTTATATATATTTCTAGTGTTTTATTATATATTTATATATATTTTTATAATATATTGTAAATAATAAAAAATTGATGAATCGACAAACTGAACCGATGGTTATTCAAACCGATCAACTAATTAACCGATTGGCTTCAATTCAGTTTTGGTTACTGGTTTTCCAGAAACTAATAACCCCAGTTCAATTTCAAAAATAAGTCGAGAATTCAGTTAACTGAACCGTGAGCACCCCTAGCACATAGAGAGGTACCATACCTTGCAAGGCTAAGATTGGGTGAAAAAAATAAGTTTTTGACGTCTTAATTCTTTTTGGATGCCCTAAATCTTTTAACACTTATAAAGCTTTTCCCTCTGCTAGCTAGTTCTACCCCCATTAAACCAGACAGACCTGTCATTTAATAATAGATGCAAAATACCCATCTGATCAGTTCTGAACCATACTCCCCATTAATTGTCTAAACTAATCGAACCTAGACATTCCACCAAGGACCACAATTTTCTTATATAACTTATCCATGAGCTCATCGACTGCATTAATCTTTGTTTGTATGGCGCATGATGCAGACAGGGAAAGCTAGACATATCTCCAAATCCCAGATATCAGACTCCTGGCTCCTTCTTCTTCTTTTTTTTTTGGCCAACTTATATATATAGCGGATAACATTTTGAGGGCACGTAAAAAAAAAAAAAAAAAGGAGAAAAGAAAAAAAAAAACTTCTGACAACTAGCTCATGGAACTTGAAAAATATCAACTCTGTCTAATTGATGGTTGAGCTATGTAGAGTTGTGCTTCTTGTCAGACGAGCAGGTCTATAAATGCGTAAATGGTATCCATTTTTCTGAATTTGACTTCTGATCCAACAGGCGTTGAGGCTATCTAAAATTGAATCCATTTAAATGGATCCACCCAAACTCATCCAATATCCAACCTGATATTTTGTGAAAATTGGTTCCAATGTTTGTCTGTAAAGAATCATAGGTGGAAGTCTTTACAAGTTATTTCTATGACATTTTATTCACGATGTATTCTTTAACAACATGTGGTGGGAGTGTTGGGTAGTAAAAAACAACACATAAAAAAATGAGTACTGATATTTAGATAAATAAAGAAATTAAAATAAATTGAAATGATTTGATCACAACCAAACAAAGCCATCTAAGAGAATAGAGGCCAATGAGAAGAAATTACCTGATGGGTATAGAATTACTAA